AGATCCAACGTCAGTCTGAGCAAAAAGCATGACACTATATCTGAAAAATAACCTAAGACAAAAAAAGAATAGATGCATGAGGCAAGTGGTAGAAGGTTTGCCTAGCAAGAAGGAGGCCCTGAGCTCAATTCCCGGTACAGAGAAAAAGAGAGAGTAGGGGGGAGGAAAGGGGTAAAGAGAGAGAAAGAGAAAGAGAGAGAGAGAGAGAACTCTTAGAACTTCATAACCAAAAGAATTCTTTCCACAGAGTTCTTAGAATCCACTGCTAAAATGGCTTCACTTAGGGCTTACCCCTTGGCTTTTTCTCAGAATACCACCTTGTATATCAATATTTTTCTTTTTCATTGTAGGCATTCTTCTTTTAAAACACTGGTCTTTAGGACTTTAAAACAGCTGATCTTTGTTACAGCCTCTCAGCAGATGGTCCAACTGGTTTTGAGGGAATGCAAACAAGAATCCTTGAGAGATAATTGTTGTGCCTTACTTTGTCCCTCTCAAGAGGTTCTGATCACCTCTGAGATGTCCAGCTAAAAAGTATATACTGAATAAAAGAGCCATGACAGTGCTCAACTCTGAGCTTGGTGCTCCCAGAACACAGCCACACTTGAGAAATCCTCCTGACCCTTAGGGTTCTGAGAAAGAACCAGCCACCAAGACCATTCTGCTCCCAAAGATGAGCTAAGACTCACCTTCTCAATGATTCAGGTAAGACCCATCCTTTCCATCATTCATGATTCCCAGAAGACTGTGGTTGATTCCCTTGTTTTTTTGCTTTTATAAAACCCCAGGCCTTTTCCTTTTCTTTGATAGCATCCTCATTAATCATCCTCCTTAGTGAAATAGGCTGAATAAGATGATTCCCTTAATTATCTTATGCATATTGTCTTTCACAGCAGAAAAATTTCATCAAAGTACACACAAGACCACATGTACCCTGTGGGATACAGCCTGGGGGAAGATATTCAAAGTTACACAGATATTCACAGTTCTACCAATTTCATCAGTGGCTGTTGAGGACACAGGGTAGTTCTCTACATAGTTCAAACTAATGTAATAATTACCAGATACCCAAGCTGGGAATGCAGAAACACCTCCTCAAAAACTCTGATACTCATTAATTTAATCTCTTCTCATAAAGCACAATTATTCATGCCCAGAGAAAAATGGGACAGGAAAATTTCCTAACTGCCTGGCTATGCATTTTCTGGAGATGAAATTGAATCAAATGTCAAACTTTTAAAAAATAGTTGTTCACTTTGTGCTGCTTATTGCTAAACTGATGGCAATCTAAGTCTGTTGTGTAAGTCAGTTTCCTGTGTTCTGGTGTCACATAGATTCCCTTCCTCCTTCAATCTCCTATGTTTTACAAGCACTGGAAGTGGGAAAAGACAGAAAGATAAAAGAACAGTGCAGAAAATGTAAAATTCTACTAAAATGTGTAAATTGGGAAAACCAAAGAATTTCCCTCCATAATTGAAGATATGATCATAAAGGAGACTTATCTCTATAATCTACTTTATGTTCAAATTAAAAGTACAGAGAAAATAGACCTACCTTTACACTAATAATATAAAGTCTAAGTGGTTTATGTCGATTGTGTCATTCAAGTCCTGTTTTCAAAAAAATTGCATCCAAAACTTTCTGTCTTAAGAGGATGAGCTGTTAATTCTGTAGCTTTTAATAACTGACAACTCCACATTTAAATCCCAGGCTGTACATAAACCATCAGCATCCAAATTTGCCCAGACAAACAGGACTAGAGAAAACAAAAATAACATGAAGAAAAAATGTGCTATTAACAGCTGTGTAAATAACAGCAGCAATGCTAACTAATAAAAGGAAACCAGCAGGCTCAAGAAGAACCAAAGAAGGAATTCAAGTTGCTACATGCCCATGAAGGGTCAGCTGCCATTTGTTTGCTTCTAAAATGTGTTCCTTCTTTCCATGTTATTGCATCAGTGGGCCTAAGGAATACCATGCAAAGCAGACTCTTGGGTCACTAAGGAAAACTAAGAGTCAGGTGAAAATGTAGAGAAAGAGAAAGGCCAGTCACTACTTTCTTTACACTAGTCATTTTGTCTTCTTTGTCTTCATGTTTTTATGTGACGAGAATTGCAATACTGCTCCAAAATCTGAGGGAAGAAACTTCTTCATGCTGCTCAATGCAGCCACTACAATATCTTCATCAAAGACCATCTGGTGTCACTGAGACCTGAATGAATTGAAGCTTCCTGGAGCTATGAGTCTTACAGAGTCTAGGGGTGCAGCTTGGCCAGCATGGCTGGAGATTAGAGCAACACTGTCCAACAGAAATATGTGATTCTAAAATTTCACATAGGTAATTTAAAATTTTTCTAGCTGCCATTAAATAAAGCAAAGAGACAGATGAAATTAATTTTAACATATTTCATTTGACTTAATATAGCCAATGTAGTGACATTTTGTTTCAACATATAATCCATTTAAAAGTCACTAGTGAGCTGAGTGTGGTAATCCCAGCTACTTAGGATGAAGACATCAGCCCAGGCAAAAACGTACCAACACCCCATCTCAAAAACAAGCTACGGACAGTAGCATCTGTGTTAACAGCTACTGAGGAGGTGGAGGTAGAAGGATTCCAGTTTAAGGCTAGCCTGGGCAAAAGCATGAAAGCCTATCCAAAATAAGCAAAAAGGGGTAGATGCATGGCTCAAGTGGTAGAGCACCTGCCTAGCAAGTGTGAGGCCCTGAGTTCAACTCCCAGTTCCACCAAAAAGTCACTAATGAGATATTTTACATTTTTTATATAAAGTCTTCAAAATCTACTGTTTACTCCATACTCAAAGCATGTCTTAAATGGCAAAGTTTTGACAGGTAAAGTGATGTGTAATTCTAATAAAACACTAAAGTTGTGTTCAGTGGGAAAATATGTTATACTCTTCAGATTTTAAATAAAAGTATAAATCAATTAAAATCTAATTGAATTGAAAAATTCAGTTCCTCCAATGCACTAGCCATATTTCAAGTGCTCAGTTCCCACATTTGGCTGATGGTGACCATATTGAAGAGGACTGGAGGACAGGAGACAAAGGAAAAAGGGAGGCAGAGGAGTTGAGAAGAAAGAAACATAAACTGTGTCAGCAGAACAGTAGGAATTTTGAATGTGGGTTTTATTCCCTGTATAATAAACATCCATTTATGTGGCATATCTCTTTCTTATTTCTTAAAATAACACAAATTTATTATCTACAACTCTGGTTGTCAGAAATCTGAAATGAGCCTTACCTGGCTAAAATCAAGGCAGCTATAGGACTGGTTCCCTCTGGAAGTTCCAAAGAAGAATCCATTCCTGGCTTCTTCTAGTTTGTAGAGACTGCTCACATTCTTTTGCTTGTAGCCACATCACTTCACATTTCTTTTCCCGTCACCTTGTCTTTTCCTCTGCCTCCCTCTCATAAGGACTCTTGAGATTGCATTGGGTCCACCATATTCCAGAATAACATCCCCATCTCAAGGTCCTTAACCTTATAGGGAAGTTCACACTTTGCCTCTAAAGATTGATGTTTGACTCTGCCAAAATAAACTGAGAATAGATGAGTTAGCCAGAGAAAGGCATACAAACTTAAAATTGTACACGTATGTGTAGGAGTCATACTACATATGAAGCTCAAAAATGAGTGAGGCTTACAACACCCTGCTCAGAAGGGCAAGCAAGATGAGAGAGGCTGTAGGCAATTTTAGAGGAGTGGGAAATGATTTTGAGGAGAAATGAACAGCTCAAGAGCAGATAATAGCCTGGGACAAAGTTCCTCTGGGCTCTGGAGGAGACAAGGATCAAGTTATGGGAAGGTGAGGGGTTGAAAACACTAAACAATGTTCTTATTATGAAGATGAAGTCTGTCTCCATGTGGAGACCAGGGAGGATTAGGGAGACCAATTCTTTTTTTTTTCTTTTTTTTTTTTTCTTTAGGAGCAAGGGATGTAGCAGGGAGGAGGACCAGAAAAGAAGCAAGCAGGTCTGTGTTCTGATAATGTAGCAGGGAGAGGGGATGGCATAGAAGGGAAATAAAACTTAAGAGAATCTAAATGTGGAGAAGGTCACTTAGCAATGAGAAAAAGCTAGTCAGTGAAACCGTATGTAATCATATATGGGATAGGTGTTG